TTATTTCTTATGCATTTGTACACAAGGAGACCTCCACGGGAGCTTGAGTGTTCTGAGGACTGAGTAAAATCCTCAACAAAAACCTTTTAAAGTATCAGTCTATGACAGATACACTTAACTCACAGCAATAACAACTCAAAGCCAAGAGTCCAACAAAAGTGCAAGTCAGACTGAAAATATGAAACGCATTTTATATCTGCAAAAACAGAGGAGGTAGTGCTGTAGAGCAGAAGTACAGTGGAGATACGCCTTTTTTTTCTGAGGGACATCACAGAAGATCTGGCAATTTAGATAAGCTTTTCACAGATTGCAGTGACTCCACAGGGCATTGAAGTGCTGATAGCCATGATTTACCCTACAAAGCTTGTTTGCTACATTTTCAGAAGCTCTGTATATCTAAAATTTTACTTTTCATCCATACACTTACAGAAATAGTATCAACATTATTTTTCTGTTCATAAAAATATATGAATGTGAACCTGTGAAAAAAACTGCTCACACGAGCAATTGTAAAGCATTTTCACATGTACTGATAAGTACATCAGTGCATGTTGTTTTGTGGTGTAAGACTTGCAAGCACCTTCTACCTGTTCATGACAATGTCACATTTTGAAAAATATTGTAGTCATAGAGAGCCTTCAATTTTTAAGAGCAATTTGATGAAATATTTTATTGCTAACAATAGTTTATCTGAGGTACAGATTCTGATATTTTGATTACAGCATTTTCTGTGTATTACAGAAAGGTCAAATATTTGCAGTTGTCAGAAGGACAATGTATCTATAAATGCTTACTTTTTGTCATTTTTACTGTTCCTAATAATTTAACAACAGAGCACTCTTCTAAAAAGTTTCAATGGCAAACCAAGAAGCAATGGTCACAGCTTTTATCTGTTGCTCAAAAAAAGACAGAAGTATTAGAAATTTTAGCAAGATGGATCTTAATGGGCTGCCTCCCGTAATTTTAAAGTATAAAAATTCTTCTTTCTGGCATAATAGTACACAAGAATGTTATGAATAACTTTTAAATTTATTAACAATTCTGTAAGGTAAAAGTTCTTTGGTTTTAATTCTATGTGAAATAAACTTCTCTGAAATATACAGCAAATTAAAACATTAAAAAACCTTAAAAACAGATTAAATGTCCATTTTTTGATCTCTAGTAAAATAACTTCAGCTTAGAATATACAAAAATCATGCCAAGTCATGAGTAATGCACTGTGTGTCCAAATTCTCTTTGGTAAAATCTATCCAGCATCTTAGATGAAACACAGCGGGCACATTGTTGGCATCATATCTATATTCTTTCCTGAAAAACTGCATGTAGACCATGTTATAGTAGATAATCCTTGTCTAGAAGAAAACCATTGGTGTCAGTTTCATCCTTTCTTTTTGTATTTTTAATGAATTCTTTGATACCTACTTTTACTTTTTTGGGGACACTTAGCTGTCCTTACCTATTCTTCTAATCCCTGAAAAGTTGAAAGCACTTACAGTATAACAGTCTGTGACAACCATATATCTTTGTGTAAAACTAAAGATTTCCAGATTTCCTTTGTAAAAACGGTAGTTTTGTGAGAGCTTCTTGAAGAAGTGTTATTTTTTTGGATACATTCCAATTTCTCTGAACATGACTCCCCACTGTCTTTTATACTTGCAAGAAAAAGTATTGTTGATTTCAAGTCCTATTTCAAGGTCAACTTCCCATTCAGAAAGATTAGAAGTAGTACTGCTCATTTTGTGGGTCATGAAGTGTATGTGAGATAATACAGGCTCTTTTTAAAGATACACAATCTTACATGTGTTTGGTTTACCTGGAGTCCCTCTGAGTCATGCTCTTTCTTGACACAAAGCAATTCAAATTTTTTGTTATTATAAGCATCTCAATAATTTCTATTGATACTAAAGCACTAGTATTTCATACCTGGTCAACTTAGGAAATAAGAATGTGATTTTTAGATCTAAATGACTTTTGGAAATATTTGAAGGTGACATTAGATAGATATTTGAACCTTCTGAAGTTTTCTAAGTCATGGCCTTCTGTGGTTTTTTGTAGATTGTCATTTGGCCTTTTTAACTACTTCTTAGTTCCATTAATTTGACACTATGCTTCAGTTCTGCACCCAAAGAATTGTATGTACTCTAACATTTAAGGAAACCCACCCCTCCCCAAACCCCCCAAAATCCCACAAACTACTATTTGGGACTTTATAAATAAAATAAATAATAGCAGTTATGCCAAGTAAATAAATGATTTATGTTTCTCTGACCATTTGCCATTTGATAACCAACATGATGGAACCTGAATGTATATTGCTAGCACTATCCAATATAAAATTCAATATAAAATAGAAGACTTTCCACAACTGTTAACTATGAACACAACAGTGATTATTATTACATATGCTGCTTCGTGCAGATGTTAAGTGTAATATTCCATTTCAGTGAGCTGGGAAATTGCATTAATCTGCCTCATATGTAGAGAATCTCCATGTGTATGTATCCTCTGTTGAGAATTCATCCTTACTTCCCTCATTTGCTTAATACATAAGGCTAGAATCTCATCATAATTTTTACCTAGAGCACCTAAAAAATCTAAAGTTTCTAACTTTAACTCTGGATGTTTCATATTCAAATATAGGGTGGAATAGAAGCTGTTACATTAAGAAAATAGTTAATCCAGTATGCCATCAGCTATGGATTCCTTATATTTGAACAAGCTTCTTTTTTATCAGTATGCACAAAAAGCTCAGAAAATTTCCTCTTGAATCAGAGTTGGCTGAAACAAATCTAGAGTTTTAGCCTACTATTGTGATTTTTTTGAAATAATCTTACCAAAATACAGTAATTATTTTTTCAATGCTTATGAGAACATTTTCTTACCCTAATTAGGCGTCCCTCGTATGACACATCAATTTCTGTGCCTGATTTTGCATACCTGACCTTCTAAGGAGTACCAGGAAGTATTTGGCTTTTATGAAGTAAAATAAGTTAGACATAAGCAGTAGCTCCTATTATTTGCAGACCAATGGACTGAAATAAAATAAAAATCAGTGTCTGAAAAAGGCTGTAGAAGAGAGCAACAATTCATAAGGAAACTTATTTAATTACTGCATTTCACTAGTGAAACGTTGTCAGCCACAGCAATTCCACTTCGCAGGAAACTGAAATGGAATATTTACCATGACAGAACCTGACGTGAGGGACTGGATATTTGCAAAGTAATGAGTGGTGAATGTAAAAAGCAGAAAAACAAAAAAGAGGATCCACAACTGCTTTATAATCATCAAAATTTGTTAGGAATGGCAAGCAGCAATGTTATTGCCTGCCAATGTCTTGCCCTTTCACATGAGTTTAAATTACAAGAACACAAAGTATAGAGAAAAGTAGTCTTATATGTGTTCACAGAGAAGTTCTTTTAGTGTCACTCATTTATTTGTCGGCAGAAAGGAATTTTCAATTCTTTTACATTTTACTAAGTTTTTTACAAAACCAAGTAAAGAAAAAACCCCTGCAACTAAAATGCCCAAACTTTAAGAGGCCTCTGTAAAAATTCTTTCACTTTGCAGAGGCAATTAGAACAGGTTGTTGAATACTGCGTAATAAGCACTTTGGGCAAGAAGCAAATGTTGAATATAATTTTAGTGTAGCTTCCAAGTCTCATCTAACTATAGTAGCAATAGTAAGAAAATACTGTAGTTGCAGTTATTTTTGCCAGTCCAGAATGATATCCCCTCAGCTGGGGTTTTAATGGAAAAGCTTAACAGAAATGTGGGTGTAACCAGAAACCTACTACCTTTATTTGAAACATACCTGTGTTTCAAGGATTTGACCCACCAGTGTATACCTGTTCTGACTGACACAGTTAGAAATGGACTCTGAATATTTTGCCCTCCAGACTGCTTTTATGTCCTTGCAGACTTGAATAACCATCCCTGGAAAGTTTCAGGAAAACTTTGTGGTGAATGTGCTCTCTTGTTACACAAATATTAGTGATGTTAAAAGTAGATCACAGTATCTTAGAAACACTAATGTTGAAAAAGACCCTTAAAATCATTGACTCCAATCATTAGCCTAACAACACTACCAACTTCACCACTAAACCATGTCCCTAGATACCTAGAGACCAAAGATACACAACTTTTAAGTACCCCCAGGAATGGTAAGCCACTTCCCTGGGCAGCCTGTTCCAATGTTTTGATCACCCTTTTGGTGAAGAAATTTTCCCTTATATTCAGTCTATCTAATCTATCTAATGTTGTCCTTAAAGTACATCCCAGAATAAATTTTGATGAAAGAACTACCTGTAAAGGTTCTGTGGATGCTTAAGTCACAGGAATCACACCTGTATCTGTCCAATTTCCAAGTCTATAAACACTTCACCTGAAATATCTGGTAGCCCTTATGCAAGTAGCTCCTGGGACTCATAAATAAAATCCTTTTAGAGGAATGGTTAAATTGATTATTAAACATTAAATGTCTACCTGCAGTACGGACTCTTAAGTGCCTCAGGGCTTTGAAAGAATTAAAATTGGTTCTCTCTGAATAGTCATATTACTTACCAGGATTTTAGATAGTTTTTCATCTGCCCTGTTGACGGCTCAGTGGGTGGCCTTAGGGTATGAGAGACACCTAGTGTTAAGATGCAATGAAATTCCACCAATTATTTGTGAAAATCACTCTCTGGGTTCCTGTAGTAGCTGGTGATAGTTTGACATTTTGAAACTGCTAAGTAAACTATAACACATTTAATCATAACATATCTCTTTTTCATTACGAGACCATATTTAATCTGACTTTCTATCACATGTATTTAGGAATTCCTTGGATTACTTAGGGTGGATAACACCAAAATAATTAACATGATATAGAACTGTTCTTGCTGAGTGAAATCACGTTTTGTACTTCAGAAATAAAGCATTAAAGCTAAATATGAAGTGCCTGGCACAACAACACAGAGAGTTTCTCTACAAAGTGACTGTGTCAATGACTTTTCCACAGGATTCTGGCACACAGAGCTGTTTTTCTCTCTCCTGGGTTAATTCTGGCCAAACTCAGCACAGCAGCACAATGTGTGGACTTTGCAACCAATATGTAGATTCACTAGAGGTAAGAGAATCTGCTTTGCCCTTCTATTTTTTCCTAATATTTAATAGAATAAAAGGAAAAGAAAAAAAAAAACAAAACAATTTGGGGAGATAATATCAATATTCACTCACAGGGAGAGATTCTATGAAAAATAATCAGAAGCAGTATAAACTAGCATTAAATCTTTATGTGAATTATGCACAGAAGATGATAGTTCTCTTGAATACTCCTGTGAAAAAAATCAAGTTGCAAGTTTCTCTCTAAAATGTCCTTATTATTACAAGTTCAGAATTACTGTGGCAAAGTTAAGCTGTTTCATAAGTAAGCTATAAAAGTGGCAAGAGGTGTGAAGTAATATAATTAAAGTTGATATTATAGACAGGTGAGCAGCAGAGGATGCTAAGTGGATAGATACACCACATTTTAGGATGCATACTTTAATAAAGATATTTTCAGTGCAACAAAATGAGTAATAGGTAACAAAAGAAAAAATAAAAAACGTTTTGTTAGCTAGGGTATCAGTTTATAGGATATGTTTTGGGAAATGGTGAATTTAGAATATGATACATTTTAGATAATTTGGTAAATTAAAAATGTTGAATAACAGAAAATCTAGCACTGAAAGGAAGTGCTTTGCATAAGCGAATTGCCTTTCTCATCTTTTGAGTATTGAGTTCTATTTCTCACTTAAACTGGCTAGTTTGGACAGACTGATCATTTTCTATTTTTGCTCATCTGGTTTTAACTTTGGCCATCCCTAAGCTGTGTCAGTGGAAGCAACACCCAAAGAAATACTCTGTCCTTGGAGCTGTAATTTTGGATTGTGAGTGATCAAATCAGAGCTGAGCTTTTCTACAGCTTTTTTGGATCTAGCAGCTGGGCCTGCTTCTGTGTTTCCTTTTAGACTGCTCACTGTGGACAGAAGAGAGTTCAAGGTGTGTGTGGATTTGCCATGCAAGGCAAGCCACTGTCTGATTGCTGGGGCACTCGTCTGCCACCAGGTAGATGCAAAATATGGTGTTTTCTCAGCAAGCAACTTTCTATTTATGGTCAGGAGCAGGAAAAATTTAAAGTGTATTTCCCAGCAAATATATGATGGATTGAAAGATTATTATACTCTGAATACTTCCTAGTGACATGTATTTTTCTAGAAGCAAATATCTGTGTAGTAATTGTCTGCTGTCACTGCTTGCTAGTCTTGTCAGCTCTCCCACGCTAAGCAAGGTCAAAATAAATACTTAATTAGTATAAAGGTTTTCCCTCAAAATTTGCTATGACAAATAGTATCAATGCAGAATGAACACTTGTACATTTTGACAGTTGTGTTTTAGCTTGTGCTGGAACAGATGTTCCTTGGATGAAACATTCAGGTCCTGTATACATATAATTTTGTGTACCTAGAACCTTGCAGGGCTGTTTGGAGCAATGGCACTTGTAAGGGGAGCTGGAATATTTTATATTATTATATATTATTATAGCGCAAATTTCTTTGATGAGTACTACATGTGAACTTAACACTGGTCACATTAGGGGAAACTTGGTTAACCACCAGAGAGGCCTCAGAGGACTTACCACAAAGTATAGATTTGATACTTCTAGCACATTCCTGACTGGTCTAAATTCAGTGGAAGTAATTCTAATTGCATACAAAACTCTGATAATCATCCTGTGTGATATAGTTGGTTTGTCTTATGTTTCACTTCTTGTTTATGTTTAGGAAGGTTTTTTTTTTTTTGATTTTTCTTCTTAATCCATGCCTTTAAAAGTACCAAAACCATGCTTGTTTTCAAAGACATACGCTTGAAGTGTTTGCTTTTCCAGAATGTCCTTGGATTCTGGCAACCCCAAAGGTGAGCAGACAGAAAATCAGGCAGTTTGTTGTTTGCAGCCTTTCTGCATTTACTCAGTAATTCATCAAAACCAATCTGTTTTTGCAAAATGCTTCTGTTTGGCAAATGAGTGTTTTGTGACAAAAGCACAGTTTAATCAGAAAAATCCTGTTTAGTTCTATTCATTATATGGTAGGAGACAGACAAATCAGATGCATTTCAGTCTACTAATCACAGAGCATGACTGAATGACTTTGAATCATGCCTCTTTCTCTTATTGCTGTGATTGATACCAAAATGAGAGCTATGAAACCTGCAGGCTGCATTACAACTTTTTATACTGGAAGCTGTCAAACATGCATTTTCAAAATTGGCACTATGTACTTAACAACTCGTGTGGAACACTGTCCTCTGAGCTAGTGCTGCTTGAGTGTGCTTTGAAGGCATCATTTTCAGGTCTCTTAAATTTCAGATGATTCCTAATTGTGGTTATGTTGGTTGATAGCATGTGAAGTACACATGAAAAATAATACAATTGTTAAGGGAATTTTGGCTTGTTGGAACAGTATTTAAATATGGTCTTAACTTGGAAGGAGTCAGGTATGGAACTGCAGAGGGATAAAGCTATATAAATCTTTTCTTGAATTATTGACTGAACATTGAATATTTCATGTTCAGTCAGAAAAGAAAACATCTAAATAGTGTACTGAACCTAACAAATGGGATAGGTTGGGATGTACACTTGTCCAGCTTGTGCAAAGACACTTGATAGAGCCTGAGGACAGCTTTGCACAATCACAGCTCTGAAAAACTTGCAGGTGAGCAGTGCAGAAGAAACAATAAACAAAAAAATTCCCTAGTGTAACTATATTTAAAGAGTGAGAAAAGCAGTATATAGAGGAATAGCTCTGTGAAACTTGATAAATTACTGCAAATCAAGATGTCTGACAAGCATATCTTTTCCTTCAGTCAAAAGCGTATTTTTAGTTTTATGCTCTAAGAAACAATAAAAAATAGTTTTTCCTCTTAGTCTCTGATGCTGATATCTTGGTGTTTCCAATAGTAAGTTGAATTTGTGACTTTTTTTCCTTATCCTTGGCTTACTAGTGGATGAAACATGAAAAAAAAGTCAAAGAGAAAGGAGGAGAGAAATACCAGTTTGGTTTATTGTCTTTCTTTGCTTAGATCTGCAACCTTAATTTATTTCAGGTCTTGACTGAAGCACAAAAAATAGAGAAACAGAAGATGGTTTTAACTCAACAGCCCTCATTCTCTCTTATAGCATTGGCATTGTCTACCATCTATAATTTCTACTTAATGGTAAAGCAAATTGAGGTTGTGGTAGAAGGTAGTAAACGGTATTTTTCTTTTACCTGCTTTGGTTTTATTCCTGGGCTTGTATTCATTCCCATCTTCTAATAATTTTCCAACCAGAAAAGTTAAAAAAGTAAGTTTTAGGACTTTGCTGTGCTAATAAATGTATAGTGCTGGGGAATAGGGTTAGTCGCCTAATATGCCTGTATAATCATGGAGTATTCTGAGCTGGAAGGGACCCAAGAGGACCCAAGAGAATCACCAAGTCCAACGCCATGCACAGGGTGCCCCAATAATCCCGCCATGTGCCTGAGAGCATTGTCCAAACACTTGGTGAACTCAGGCTTGGTGCTGGGACCTCTTCCCTGGAGAGCCTGTCCCAGTGCTCAGCCACCCTCTGGGTGAAGAACCTTTTCCTGATACCCAGCCTAAACCTCCTCTGACTCAGCTTCATGCTGCTCCCTCTGGTCCTGTCTCTGGTCACCACAGAGTGACTGGACACCACAGAGATCAGTGCCTGCCCCTCCTCTTCCCCTCACAAGGAAATTGCCTCTTCACTGAGGTCTCCCCTCCATCTCCTCCTCTCCAGGCTGAACAGAACAAGTGTCAGCCACTCCTCATATGGCTTCCCCTCCAGATCCTACATCAAACTCATGGTCCTCCTTCTGGCATGTACAGAAGGAGGTATGATCAATGAGAATTCAAGTATATCTAATAAACATAGTGTTCAGCCATAAAATTAAGCAACTATTTACTATTTTACTCTAGCTCCTCCTTTGAGACATACATAAACTTAATTTGTCTGTGTTCTTTACTAAGATAAACTTGAATGCGTAAAATAACGAAAAAGAAAAAATATAGTATGTTGACTTACAAATCTCTTATAGTTATGCAAAAAAATGCAGTTCACTGGCTGATCTGGGAATCCAGAAGGAGAAACTAATTTATTTTATATCCCATGAATGGGAAAGTTCATTAAACTTCAGGCTTCTTGGGAAACAGTTTAGTATTGATTGTGTTTAGGACCAGAGGGCAAAGAACCGGAAAGCTTGGCAACTGTTTTAAATTCTCGCACAAATTTACCCTGTGACCCTGGAAAAATAAATTAATTTACATTCTATAGCTCAAATCAAGTAATTATTTTAAAGTCAGTCACTTACAGGAAAAGAAAAATAATTTAATTTCTTGATCCTTTGAGTTTAAGTACATCTGGCTAATGTGGATGAAAATTGCTTCTGCTGGCTTTTCTCTGTGAAAATAAATTGTATTTATCATAAGCTTAAATATGGATGGAGATATCAGTATAATACCTCAGACTTCAAACCATGGAAAGCATGCCATTGCTAGCTAACTGTTTTTTATTTGAGACTGAATACTCTGAATTTTTTTAAATATTGATATTAATCTGTTTCCTAAAACAGAATGCTAAAAAAGACATTTTCAGAAGTGACTATAGCTGACTTAACAAAATTTTGCTGCAATTGGATGCAACCTTTCTAAAATTTTGCAACCACGTTGTGTGTTGGAACTAGATGGTCATTAAGATCCCTTCCAAGTCAAGCCATTCTATGATTTTTAGCTCTCACGAAAGTTTTCTGGAGCAGGTTTTGTCTTTACTGGGGCTTTGGGAGTTCTTTGTTTGTTTATTTTTATTAGTTTGTTATTGAATTCTGAGGACAGCAAAACAACCTACTTATTCTTCTAGTGAAATAATTTTTAATAAATGACAAGTGTGTTCTGGGGAGATTACAAGAGGGGATGTATTCATGCATTTTATTGATATATCTGGACTCCCATGAGCCCTAGCTTGTAGCATTGTGCAAGGTTTTGTGGGATATAGATAGTAAAAACTTTGAAGAAAGGTTTTCTTGCTCTCCTCTGCTTACCCTTTTCACTATTTTATCCATTTTTGTGGTAGGTATCATCTCTACAAATCGAAGGGGGCTTTCACTCTGTTCTGTTTTCACATCTCCTCTAACAGTAAACAGGTAAAATCTACTGGTACTGCAACACAGAAAATTTGTTTTATTGAAGGGCTTTATTAAAAAATGTCAAAACAAGGAATAAGAAACAGATCTTACAAAGTGATGGAAACCTAACTTTCATCTCTAAGTGACAGCCAACATCTTCAGTGCTGATATTACCTAGGAAACAGTAGCAACCTTAGCTATACAGGAATTCTTTTCCTGTTTCTTAAGAAAAATGATGGTGAATGTACTCCAGATAAAATTTGAAACACACATCCAGGCATACTGTTGGGATTGCTGTATAGGAATGCTTATTATCCACTAGTGGTCATCACAGTTCTTCATACATAAGTGTACATAGAATGTAGAGCAATTTTTCAATATGTAGCAAAGATATCTTCTGCCTTTAAACAGGTGGTAGGTGAACCATAAAAGCATCTTTAGATGATTTCTTTCATCTTTAGTCACATTCTACTGGAAAACAAGCTGCTGTTTATTTGATAAGGATTTCAGAGAGTGGAGAGTGTTGAAAGAGCAAAGAAAGCTATGTGGTTTTGGCATAGGTTTAAATACAGAAGCATGAAAACAGGTACCTCTGCTATTTATAATAAATTAAGAAATGTGTAAAAAACAGATTGCTTAGTCCCACTGAAGCTATTGCAGACTTTCTCCACTGATTTTAATGGAGCTGAGATTACATCTGAAATGGTCAGCTTGAAAATCTTAAGATACTCTTATGTTAACTCAGTCTTCAAAAGAAAACTGTGTCACTGGTTCTTTTGTTAAACCTATCAGTCTCGTGGTACTCTTGTAACAAGTATTGCTAACCAATTAATATAAAAGCTCTTCTAGTATTCATCATTCCTTTAAACCTATGCATTGTGGAGTACATTCAGAAATGATGCCATGATAACATGCGCATGATATCAAAAAGCACTAGTTAGCCCCCAAACCAGCTCCCAAGGCATAAACTATAAGGGTTCAAGACGTTCTAATTTTCATCCAAACTTTCCAACTGAGGAGTTTCTTCTATGAATTTGGAGGAATGTAATTGAGATTCAACATATTTGGAGCTGAGCAGTTGTAAACTGAGGTTATTCTTGTGTTCTGTCTTTAATAAAGCCTAGTTTGCCTTCAGTTTTTATGTGGAATTTGAGTTTTGGGAGCTCCAGGTAACCACTGTTTTCAATGAGAAAATTGCTAACTGCTACTCCAGGCTATGTTGTATTAATTTGCTTTTCTCTGACTATTAAACAAGCATTTACTTTATTTCAGAAATCTTAGTTGGTTCTTCTGTTTCAATTCAATAGACAATATGATCAGTGCAATATTGTATGTAATACCCAGTAACATTCTAGAGGTGACTACAAAAACATCTCACATGTGTCCTCCAAAGTTTCTCTCCATTTTGTTGCATGTCTCACTTGAAGATTTTTGCATATCTTCATTCATTTGAGTACTGTGATATTGGTCCAGACTGTGTTTGACTACATCTCAATCAAAAATATTAAGTTTTCCATCATCTTTATCTGAAATAGTATAATTTATGGGGATATCCACCAGAGCATATTCAGCTACAGCATTTCAATTTATTTCCTTTAACCTTAGATTTACAAGTCTTGCTGTAAATTTCATCAGCACATAATGGAAATGGCATAGCTTGAGATTACAGGTTGCTCTCCAATACTCCCTCTCTGTATTTGTCCATTATTTTCACATTTTACCTTTTGATTTCACATATTGTGAATTCTTCACAATATGAAGTAATAATGTAAGCTTCTATCAGTATGTTATGTGCTTTGAAACTGATTGTTGTTTGCTAGTCAGATTATTGAAATTCCCATTTTGAATTGTCTTGAACAAGAACTGTTTTGTAGAAGTTAAATTCCCCTCTTGCAGACTCATGTGTCATTTAATTAACACTTATGATCAAAGCAAATCAAATTCAGGGACATTCAGCTATATCTTTAAAATTAATAGTTCCATATTAATGTTCTATATCAGTACATTTTCCCAAGTTTTAAACAAATTAATCTTTGAGTGCTATTTTTAAGAGTTCAAATCAAGTATTATCATTTGGTATGGTTTCAGAGCTGAATATCTGTTACTCTAGATTCAATTTCTATCCTTCATTAAAAAAAAGGGTAGAAGATCAGTAGCTGCTCCTCTGTTCAATTAATTGTTCTTAGCTGTACATACTTTGACAAATACTTCTAAGTTATTTTGTCCTACGTAGTTTTACAGGAAGCATTTTGAGTTTTACTCTTCAAAATGTTCACTGTAATATTGAAATTTGCTTACAGCTCAGGTTTAAACTCTGCTTGCTCCGTGGACCAGATACAATCCTAATTAAGGGGGCGTACTTGCATGGGTTTACTGGCTTGGTTTGAAAGACAGGTATTTGCTAAGGAAGGAAGAAGCCTCCCTTAAAATGGAAAATATAAACCCCCTCCCTCTGAATTATTACAATTTTGAAATTAAGGCACTCAGGCAAAGATATTGAAATAAGAATAACAGTTTTTTACTAAGAAAATTAAAATAAAAATGCAGTAGTACAAAACAACCACTGACAGAGTCAGAATACAACCTGACACGCTCTTGGTCAGGGTGTTGGTAGCAGTCTGATTAAATGGTGACTGCAGTCCTGGAGTGACAGATGTGGATCTGTTGAAGCAATGATCCTGTAGAAGGGTGTGGTTTTCCTCTGGAAGTCCAGTGATGGTGTAGATGGATCTGGTCTCTCTGGAATCCAGTGGAGAAAGGCTGCCTGTGGTGTTCTGAGTCTCAGATTATATCCAGGTAGGAATGCTTGGCTCCTCCCCTGGGCGGAGCAGCTCACAATGGGAGGATGGAATTTTGTCAGTCCTGCAGTGAGACTCAGTGGCCCATTAACAGAAGATATCCCCTGTTATGAGGGATGGGACATGGAAGAGATGAAGAACTCTGCCCCACCTGGTTTTAACAGATGGTAATAAATACATACTTTTGGTGATATCTTGCATTGCAACCCAAGACAATGTTAGATTAATATTTTTGGTGGACTTACTGTATTGTATGAAAACAGCCTGTCATCTTGACACTGAGAACAATAACTAGGTTTAAATTCCTTCTTAGAATGAAGAGAAATGAAGTTGCCTACAATAACTTCTTTCCAAGAAATCCTCTTATTTTTTCCCTTATGTGTTTAGCCCAAGGGCTATTAAACATTCAAAATGTTTGGCTTTTGTAAGTTGAGAATTTCTCTTGAGAGTTGATGTGGCTGAAAAAACCCCTCAGCACTGAGAACACTTGAAAGAAATGGATGTTATTTTCTGCTCAAGACCTCTGTGGAGAACTGAAATAGGTACCAGCCTGTTTCAGGGAAGGAGTGGCAGTAGAACAATTATCTCCCCAAGTTTGTGGCAGCAACAATGCAGCTCTACTGTGCACAGTGGAAAACAGCATTTTCCTTAGATTTTGAGGCATGAGGATTGTTCTTCTTTTTTTTTCCTGTTCTTTCTGACAGAACACGTCTAACAACACCACAAGTTCACTTAGGACAGGAACAAATAATTAAGATGATGGCTAGGGATGCTGGCTAGCCAAACCCATGTGCTGTTTGGACACTGAGATCTTTCTGAAGAAGGCAAAGATGTGCCATCTCCAGTTAGAAGTCCCAGATGTGAGCTAAAGTGAAAAGAAGTAGTTCTGGAGAGTCCTACTGCCATTAAGCTGGGCTATGGGAAAGCTTATGATAAAATCAAAGGATATTTTTAGCAGTTCTTGAGATTTCGTGTGATGAAACGGTTGTGGTGAGGAGCAGGAAAGAAAATGGGAACTATGTCCCACAAAGTATTGTTCAGTACAGTTGTTTGTTAGGAGCTTATGGGGCCAACAATTCTTCTGGTTTATTCTCTCTCAGAAAAATTGGAATGTAGGACTTAGCAGTGTCTCATCTTTGTGGTTTCTGTTTACTAAAGATGAAAAATATCTGTTAAGCCACACAATTCTACTGAGAAGCTCCAAAGAGTGTAAGGAATGGCTGATGGGCTGGTAAGGGTGTTGAGGGTCTATGTAATAAACAAGATTTTTAATTTAGCTGTTCCTTCTTTTATTCTTGCTTGACTCACACTTTGCCTGACAGCACAGACAGATGTAAGGTATCATTTTGTACTGATATTGAATCCATGGGCGACTTTTGCAAGGATGCCAATAAATTGACACATGCTTGATTTAAACTGGTGTGTTTGCTCTGGATGATAAAAAGTGTTAAAGCAATTGAAACTGCTTTCAAACCAATAATTTGTGGCGTGTTAGATTAACTTAATGGAAACAGCCTACTGGGAAAAGAGATTTCTTGACTGTAAATCAGCTACAGAATTGTCTTCATTTCACAGTATGAAGGCTTTTTGCTATTGCAATAAACAGCACTGACAGAGGATGCAGTAGTAAGTTCTTACTGAGATCGTGTGGTCTGAGATGTTGCAGAAGCTCAAATGTTGGCATGTGTGTTTAAAAATGTGCCTGGTTAGTAATATAATAATTGTTGAATTCTATTTGGCACTTTAATTTTTGAAATGCTGCATGTGCTTTTAGCTATTTCTGAATGTTCTGCAACGATGGCATCTATTATTTACCTTTTATTTATACATAAGGAAATTGAGCTTCCCCAGTTAAAGTTCACTTACTTTAAACAGTAACAAAAGTTGTCTTTGTGGCAGGCAGAATTTTTGAACCCTGGTCTTCCTGGTGAGACTATAGACATAAACCAGGTAATTGTTCCATAAATCAAGTGTGTGTTCCTGAGCTATCATGAAATGTGACACAACTGGAGAAATGAAGTGGCAAGTGTGTTAGGGTGTAACTCTCCCCTCTGCTATGGAAAGTATGAAGATGGAAATTGTATTTCTGTTTTTTATTTGGTTACACAAATGTCTGGAATTCCTTTTTTTCTCATGAATTCTTGTTAAAAGGCATATGATGTTCTGTGACAGTGTAGTGCTTTTAATTTGGTAGTTCTGTCCTTACAAAGCACCTGTTTGC